GTAGATGATTAGGTCAGTTCCTGCATATAAATACACATAACACCACACTGTGGTTTTATCTATCTTCCGTTAAGTTAGATTTTTATACCTGCAAAAGGTTTGTTTCACTCAACCCTATGTAAATGTTTTTCGATCTTTATAGGATAACTAATTAAATGTGAATAAGAATCTGTAATCAGAGATATAATAGAACTCATTTCAGTAGTTAGTTGCATTTTGCTTCCCACAAGCAAATTATACTGAATGGTTGGAGTCAGTGTCACTTCTGGAGTACATAAGATTACTTCCTGTAATATCGGCTCTATTCTTTTAACCTTGTTGACATTGTTTTAACCTGGAAAGCTTTTGTTGCTTCTTGCTGGACCACGATTATACATGTTACATACCCTTAAATGAAATGAAGATAGGAGAAATTGACTACATGGGAGACAAATAGATCTCGAAGCAGAGTGTATTTTCACCTTAATCTTCAATTGATTGCTGATGCGCCATTCTCTTACGTTTCAGTTGTTTTCTATCTTCTGCACAGGTTTTGAGTCGCAAATTGTACCTCCCTGTCAAGCTGGATCCTAATGCAAAGTATGTGTGCTTGTTTAGTTCCCTCTAGTATAGCTGCCATGACCGCTGCCTGCCACAACTTCACTTTTGATGTTCTGTCTTAACATATTTTTCTGAGAATCATGTTGAAACCTGAATTTCTAGTTTGCTACCAACCAGCAATTTTCCTTCATTCATTCATGCTGCACATTGGTGTTGTTTTATTACAAACTTATCTCCCTTAACAAAGTTTTCCTTCATTTTCAAGTTTTTTTTATAAAAGACTTGAGTTTTCTAATGGCCCATAATCTTGGCAATCTATATCTTGATGCTTCTGAGCTATTTGAATATTATCTGTTGACTAATTTTTCAGACTTGCATACTTGGAAGGAAGGCAGCTGATGCAATTGGAAAGATCTTATCTGTTGTTTTTTGCATTATTGGCAGTATTGCATTGGGATCACATGGAATTTGAAAGACTGCATTATTTAGTTCAAGGAATATGAACAATTAAATTTGCAGATTATAGAGATAGAGAATGTTATGTGTAGGAGTAGAATCTAACCAAAGATTTGCTAGCTTCAAACTGCCTGTGGCATAAAGTATTTTACTTTTTGCTTCATTTTCTGTATGAGCTTTTGTTAGCATTTTCCCAGTTATGGTGCTTCCCTGCTGCATATTAACCATATTCAAGTTATAATTGGTAGGGATAGCGACCTTCCACTTATTGTGGCAATTGATTTGCAGCCTATGGCTCCAATCGAGGGTGTTATTCAAGTTCAGGGTGATATAACAAATGCAAGAACAGCTGAAGTGGTATAATTTTGTGCACTGGCTTCTTATCTTGTGTATGTTTGACCATTGATTGAAAATGATATCTGAACATGCCAAGAAAGTCCACATCTTGTCATTACAGATCTCCTCTTTGATCTCCTTCCGACAGTGTTAAGTTCAGAGTCTTCTCAAGTAAATACACCTGTGACCTGGATTAATATTCTAATCCTCTGTCCACCCCTTTCTGGTTGTGTTAACTTCACAGTTGTCTTAAATAAATGTGTTTTTATAATTTTAATTGAATAGAGAGTCAATTTTTTCTTGCTTGCTGTCATTGTCCATTCACGGCAAGATGTGTTTATTCAGTCTCTTTGAATGCTAGCATCTGATCCTTTGTTATATTATTTATGAAGAGAGTTAAGGTAGGCAGGCATCACCAACAACATTTATTTTTTCTCTTTAGGTTATCAGACATTTTGATGGATGCAAAGCTGACCTGGTTGTCTGTGATGGTGCCCCTGATGGTGAGCATAAAAAAGCAATTTTAACTTGTGGGCTGCTGTCTTCTTTGCTATGTCGTGTATTGTCATATATCTAAGTGTTCTGTTTCATATGTTGCAGTTACTGGTCTTCACGACATGGATGAATTCGTTCAGTCTCAACTCATACTTGCAGTTAGTCTTGAATTGCTTTTCCAGACTATGGATCTTTACTTTTATCCTTACTGAAAAATTTTGAAACTTTGGTTTGTTGTATTACTATACTAACAATTAGTTGTTTTGACCATTATTTGTGGATATTTGCAGATGCTTTTCTCTTTTTCTTTTGTTTCTCACTTTGTGTTCACAGTGACAACAAGAGGTGTCAAAACTTGTTTGCAGGGTCTGACAATTGTAACCCACATACTGAAGGAAGGTGGAAAGTTCATTGCCAAGATATTTCGAGGAAAGGACACAAGCCTGCTCTATTGTCAGTTAAAACTTTTTTTCACTGAAGTGACCTTTGCAAAACCAAAAAGTAGCCGGAACTCAAGTATAGGTAGATATTTAACTTTGTTCTTTTGTATTTCTTTGATATTCTGTATCAGCATGTACCACCATAGAGTTATGATCACTGTTGGTGAGAGCAGATAACTTTCAAATATTTTGTGAAAATATCGTCACAAGCTTTATAGACAATATAAGCTGTAGCTTGATAAACTATACCATTTGGTTAGAATTTCAAACAGTTAGCCTTCCAATATATGTTCTCTGGCAAACATTCGTGCTGTCAACTTTTATGGTCCTTGTGATTTTTTGGGACCTTTCATTATGTGGGTTTTGTCATGTATCTTAAGATTTGGTGGTTTATCAGTTATTAAGTGTTGTCCAAGCAATCAACGGTTACAGGGAAGGTAGTATTTATGAGGTTAAATTCACAAGACAAAAGCTGTGTGAAGAAAAGAACTGAATTGTGCTTGTGTTTGGTTGAACGCAGAGGCATTTGCTGTTTGTGAGAATTACTCTCCTCCTGAAGGATTTAATGAGAAGGATCTGCATCGCCTCCTTGAAAAGGTTGGGAGTCCATCTGGTGCGGATGATCTAGGTAATCATGACTTGATTAACATAACCATTTTTGCTTACTATTCTGTCTGTGTACATGTACTTGAGCTGTTACAGAGCTCCTGTATCAAATCAATTGCTCAAAATGAAAAAAAAAAAAAAAAAGAGTATATAATCAATTGGCTTGGCCATTTGTGTGCACTTGGGCATTTGTGGATCTGTGTGTGTGGGAGTGAATATTTTCGTCTTGTTCTTTTCCATATGTTGCTGCTAGTTTTGTTACTCTAAATGTAGTTGGGGTGCTTTTAACTGAAAGCGGGCTGAAGGACGTTATTCCTTGTGGCAAACTCTCTATTGTTTCAGGAATAGTAGATGCCTCCTTAAACATCCCCTTGTCTCGGCCCTAGATGGAAATGCTGGTTGCAAATGCGATTTTGTGGGTATTACAGATTCTTTTATTAATGCATGTTGCTTTACAGATTGCAGCAGTGGATGGTTGGAAGGTCCAAACAAGGTGTACATCCCGTTTCTGGCATGTGGAGACCTAAATGGGTACGACTCGGATCGTTCTTATCCACTTCCCAAAGTTGCAGATGGAAAGTATCGGAGTTTGGATCCTGTACAACCTCCCATAGCACCACCATACAAGAGAGCGCTTGACATGAAGAAAGCTTTAAGTCAGGGAATTCGAGACATGGAGAAACTCAACGTGATGCATGACTGTTAAACTCAAACTTGTTTAACAAGTAGGTTATAGGAATTTACGGAATTCTTGTGTAAGCTCAATTTTTTTGCGCCCCCCCCCCCTCCCAAAAAAAAAGTGCTGTTTTGATCTGGAGATGTGTCTACTGCAGCGAGATAATTGAAGACTTCTGTTGGAAACTATACGTATTCCTGCTTCAGAGTCTAAACAAAAATCAGTAAGATGCGCATCGGTTTGAGATTGTTTATCGAGGTATTGGCAAGTATGGTGGTAGTGGGTAAATGGTGAAAAGTGGGTTTGTTTAGTTCTTCTCCCTTTTTAATTTTAACTGGCTGCGGATGATTGATTTGATTATTTCTTTTTCTTCTGCTGGGTCGGGACTCAGAAGGTTGATTCGATTTTCCAGTTTAACTTTTCAATAGCTAAAACGTAAGATTAATAAATTTAATACTCAATTTTTAACCGGACCAGGCATGAACACGAGACAATATTGGGCTAGATTTGTCATCGTCAGTGAGCTGCTGCATTTCCCAGAATCGCAGCCTTGACCTTTACTGAAGGCATCCTACAACTAAAGAGTAACGAGGATTCACGTAGCGAAGATTAACCGACGTACCAGCCGTGGGATAGGCAATCGAGTGATTCCTTTTCCTTTTGGGATGAATAGATATATATACATGGAGGATGATGTGTCTGGGCAACTGGACTAAATTATTGCTGAATATGAGACAGCTTAGGGGACTCCGGAGGAGTGTTTGCTCTCCCCACCGGATGCAAATATTCATCAAAGCTGCCTAGATACAAATTAGATGCTCGGTGCCACTTAATCAGCGTCAGCTCATTAGGTGTCACTCTTTCATTCGATGCAAGTGTTCAATTAATTTAAGTTGAAATTAAATACTGCGTGATAATTTAAATTAATTAGATACTTAATATAATTTTACGAGCGGCACTGAGTTACCACTAAGAAAATGGAGGATCTCAATTGGCCTAGATATGGGGTTTATCCGTACATTTAAGGTGAAAGATGAACAAATAAGCATTAAAATCTGGGAAGAGGTTTCATCAAAGACGAAGAATTTATAAGACCAAAGCAGAGGAAAGTTCGCCTAATGACAACAATCATGGTTTTCAGTAAATGCACGTATGTATCTGACAAATATATCTCCTACCTCCTACCTCTAGGCTCTAGGCTCGTTACCTGTGGCCTGTGCGCAAACGAACCATCATCTGAGCCATTTCTAGCTGGAAAATCTGTTTACAACAAGAACACTGGAACTGGCACCAGTCGATGTGAGGATGATCTTTCTATCTATGTCCTGGTTTTTCTATACATTAACCCTTTCCAGGTGGTAACTGGTAAAACGGGCAGCTTCCCTACTCATACAAACAAATCAGTTTCATCCACAATACTAGAGCGCGCGCAATTAAAGCAGACAAAAGTATTAGCAAGAGCTTGCAACTGAATTGGATCTTTGCAAGGAGGATGATGAATTCAAGAACTCAATGCATTCCTCAATAGCTTCAGCCCGCTGAGAATCATCAAGTGTCTCTGCATAGGACCGTGATCTTGCTAAAGTTAAACTAGCCGCCGAAGACACTTTGCACGAACACTTCTTCCGGCAGGAGATGAAACGAAGAGCCTGGGCAACGTTGGCTCCAACGCGCTTTGCAAATCTCGCGGCTGAGAATCCTGATGACGAAGAGCTTTCGGGAACTCTGAAACTGGTCCAGGTCCCCTGAGTAGCAGCATGGACTCTCTCCTTGCTCCCCCCGCTAACTTTAATACTGCCGTATCCAGAGCGTTCTTTGTTAGAGTACTGCTTCCTGATTACCGGTTGCTTATCGTTGACATCGGGGCTGAAACCAACTCTCTTATTCATGTTCCCGATTGACATGGATCACTCGACGAGGGGAGAGAGAGAGAGAGAGAGAGAGACAGAAAGAGCAGGAAGACAGAGAAAAGGCAGTTGCTGATTATTTATTGAGGAGACGGAAAAAAGAAAAGGTAAGCAAGACCAAGAGAAAGAGATGGTTCTGGGACTTCCGTTTTACACTTTTTCCCCTTTGGTCACACCATACTACTCTTATGCTAGCAATACATCAGGCGTTGGGGGAAATGATCTTTTCCTACCAACGCCATGCCCACATGCTCGCCTTGGTTCAACCAAATTGACCGTGGTGACCAAGAAGGCTTTCAGTTCAAGCAGATCCTGTAATAATTTTCTTCTGCTCCTCCTCTTCAGTCTTCACCAGTCATATAAGCAAATCACCAATCCTGTGGTGCCCAAAATCCAACCTTGGGACGTATTATGTACTCTGTAACGGATGCAGAAGCAGAAAAAGCCACAACATAAAGCGAAGTAGGAATGTCTGCCGTTCACATTTTCAGCTGTCATGGTACGAGGCAAATACAGTATGAATTAACCTGAAAGAACGTACGGGACAGTGGGACCCTGGCTTAGAGAGTTTTAAAATGAGACCAGAACCAGAACCAGAACCAGACACATACATACTACTACTGCTGTACCAAAATTCAGCGATTGTTTTCAGTCAAAAGAAGTGGTAGGCCCATCTGGAGGTGGTAAGTGATACCGTGGTGAAAAAACAAAGAAAGGGAACAAGACATTAATTGAGACCCAAATGCATAAGAGGAGGGGGAACATAAAAGAGACCAAAACAGATACTCTTCTTATCTGCTTTTGCTTTCTCTAGTTTTCTTTAGAGAGGTGCTCGTACGTCTTTTATTCGCTAGCCTTGACCATCTTTTAATTTCATTCAGGAATCTTAATTTTTGTTATTTGCGTCTGTGCGAGAGAATCTGCTTTGAATTTGAGTGGAGGCCCTGGAGGGATATGGCGTGGGGGCTGGATCTCTTCCCTATCCCTTTACTTTTATGTACCAAGTTTTTTTTTTTTTTTTGCCACATCTGTAAAAGTTACTGCTCATTATGTACAGTTTGACAAAATGAAACTTGAGGGTATGAAATTCAAATTGCCGCTGCTATCTTGTGGGAGCTGGCAACTTCTTTTGGCTGGAACCAACAACTTCCCTCTTGCTCTTAGTACTAGAGTGACAGAAAATTACATGTTGCTCTCAATCTTTCGTATCTGTATTTTGTTCGTCCTCCCAGCAGCTAAATGTATGGTCTCATTTTAAATAAAACTTCTAAAAGCATATATATATATATATATATATGCTCCACATATAGCCTTTTCGCCCATTTGAGCTATTAAAGCTAGCAATAATAGCATGAAAACTACATCCTTTTTGTGGCAGGTCCTATTGGAGTTTAGGATTGAAATTCAGGAAAACTACATCCTTTTCATCCTTTTGTTATATAATAGGTGATCTTGAATGAGTTGATCTTGGCCGCTCGATCTGTCAACCAATCCTCTGTGGTCGCAGGTCGGGATCCGGTGGAGAACTCCAATTTTGACCTTCTGTACAGAATGGACGGACACAGACGAGATGATCAACGGTTGATGCCAGAGCCGAACACCCCACCCGGTATGGTCAGTGTAGAATTAATGCGGAAAAGGACTACCAGCACATTAGTATTCGCTCAGGACGTCGTAACCCTGCCCCAAATCCTTGTAATTCATCATTTGTCAGGTAAATTGCTGTCAGACTTGAAAAATCTTGAAATGGCCAATTAAGGTAAATGGCTGACTTGAAATGCATGCATATTATTGCTCTGTTTGGATTGTAAATTATTTGAGATATTTTTACTGTAACACTTTTTGTGATGTGATGTATGTAAATTAAAAAGGTAATTGGAAAGATAAAAAGGTGTGTTAAAAATTGTAAGCAAATAAATTTTGGTAAATAATCCTCTATCCAAACAAACCAATTTAGATACTTGTTCATTTTCGAATGCTGCATCTATATTAAAACTGTATCCAATACCAGTACCTTTGCGCTATGGCTACAATACAATCGTTAAAGACACTAATCTCATTATTGATTATTTGAGATTGGTTAAATTAATTAATATAGATCTTGAACTATTTCTCTTTTTTCTTTTTATCCTTTCACACTGTTTCCACTCTCAACTTAAATTTGTACTTTGACAGTAAGGAAGACTTGACAACCCTCCTTGATTGATCACGGGAGTATTTGGAAAACCAACCAACTGCTTTTAGAGTAGCTGGCCACCTCTCAAATGTGGGCCAAGACATCAAATCCCTTGACTTGCATTAATTTTCTAAAAATTTTACCAACGGATGCAAAGACACCGATTTGGATTCGATAGTGGTTCAATTCATTTTAGGATCTTTCTTGGTCCATTTAAGCCCATCCCTCCCCCTTAGAATAGAGTAGGAGCAAGTAATAGAGTAGGAGCAAGTATGATATAGAAACTATCCTTGGAATAGAGTAGGAGTAAGTATGATATAGAAACTATTTTGTGTCAACAAAAAATATATATATATATCACGCGAGCAAAGGGAAAAAAAAAAATCTTTCTTCAGGCAGTTGCGTTCACCTGGTTGGCGTTTTGACTGCGTAACAATCACAATGGTCACAGAGCCCAATAGCGGAAACCATGCATCCGACCACAGGACTCTCTCTCTCTCTCTCTCTCTCTGTCCTTTTCTTGGTTTGGGTTTGAGATCAACGACGCAGACCCGTAGCTTTATACTGAAGGATTTTCCCTTTACAGCTAATTTTATTTAAAGTCGCCAATTATCTATGGAGTCTAACATGTTCGTTCAGTAAGGCGTTTATGAAAAATCTAATAAATTTGTTGAGCAAAATTATTTTTCAATCCGAATTTCATTGCCAATCATTATTTTGGTCCGGGCTTGAATAAATAAGTCCACGAAACAAGCGGAATTCTGCTGTCTACAACTGACACGAGGGGGACTTCGTAGAATCAAGTTTTCGCATGAAGACCAATTTTGATTAATGACAAGACCTTTTTGAAAAATTTAAAATTTTTCTTGAATACTTTGTAAAGAGATCTTTATCAAAAGTGTTTAATTTGCGAATTCCGGCGGGGGAGGGGTCTATCAGTGGACAGGAACGATGAACATAGATACAAAATTATTTCACCAATCCTCATCAGGGAAGGATTACAATTTACGAGATACTTTTCTCTACCTGCATCATTATTTGTTGGGTGATTTTGCTCCAGTCTGTTTTTCAAGCTCTAGAGTCGGTAGATAGATGTCTGGCTAACCATTTTTTCTCACCATCAATTTGCCTAGCCATAAATTCTATGTAAATTTCAAAGGATCACGCTACTAGGAAAATGGTGATCACTGAATGAATACCCAACATCAACTGAAAAATGTGGACATTCAGTCCGTTTCTAGCCTCGCTATGTATTGGTCATAGAATTTTGCGGCTCTCTCCAAATCACCAAGCTCAGTGTAACAATCAGCTATGGCTCCATAAGCTTCTGTGTTCCCAGATTCCTCACCTTCTCTCTGCGAAATGGCCAGAACCATAGAATGATATTTGATTGCTTCCCGGTACTTACCCTGCCTTTGCAATGATGCCCCTAAAAAACACATACAAGAAAATGTGAAGAACACGAGCAGCATTCCATTTGGACAGGCCTCAAATGACTTTTTCCTTTGGGGGTGGGAGATGTTGGGATATAAACCAATTGTCACATCAAAAGATCACTAATCAGCCCATGTCTGAAATGGGTAATCCAGATTAATGGAAGATTAAAGGTGAAATTTTGGCATAGAATTATTACCATACATGCACGAAGTATATGCATTAATTGAATGCCTACACTGAATTCTCAGCCAAAGGGATGAGGTGCATCCATGCATGCTGTGTTAGTTTCAGTTAAGATGCAAGACAAACAGTACATATTCCTGTATGTTATCCCATGGAATGTCTTGCCACTAATCATTCTTGGGACAAAATATTGATTCAAAAAAATACGAAGATGGTATACCTAAGCCTCTAGCAGCCTTCTTTTCCTCTATTGGGTCCTTCAGATTCTGAGCAAGCTCAAGAGCAGACTTAAACTCTGCAAAGGCCTTCTCTGGATCTTGATTTCTCAAAAAATTCTTCCCATTTTTCAGGCAGGCGATCAGCTCCTGCTTCCTTGGGTCAACAATAACTTCACTCTCTGGTATCCTTCCACCAACAGGAGCATAACTCAGATTGGGTGCATATGATTCAATCTTAGCCTGCCTTCTTAAAGCTGCATTAATCTGCCGGAGCTGTTCGTTCAGGCGCTGTAATTCTCCTCTCCTTTGTCGCGCAAGTAATCCTGGAAAATTATGCAGAATGAACTAAAAGAACTTCCAAATCAACAAATTATGTGTGGAAGTGTGATGAGGACTGGGCAGCTTAGGAAATTAGCAGTCTCCAAAGTCTCCCTTGGCGCTCACCTAGCAGCCCATTTCCATGCTTTTCGGATGCCATTCTAGAATCCTAAGCCCATTTTAATCAACATAGCCACAGTTTTAGACCTCAAGTTTGAGTGCCTAAAAAATGCTTACAGTTTGGAAGTGTAGACGTTAAGAGAAGTACTGAAGAGATTCCTAAGACCATAAAAACTTCCACCTAACAGGTAATCAAGTGAACGATAAAACTAGAATCTGCAACAAAAAGCAGCAAGGGCAACTTACCTCCAACTGTGGCACCGATAAGGGCAACAAAAAGCAGCAAGGGCATATTCATATTGAGTATTGAATTGTCTGCCTCACAAGTTTCTGCGATAGCTTCCAAAGGTGCAAAGTACATCAAGGCATCAGTGGCAATAAGGGCCATCACTGGGACTCTTAAAGACATCATTTCCTGCCAAATCGATAACAAATGAGTACGTTTAGAAAATCATCATTGCCAAAGAAGACTCTTTCTTATGATTCGCATCTACAATTTCAAATTGCAAATTGCAGCTTGGTGAGACTAA